GTAAGTCCCCGGGCCTCCTTGGTGTGAAATGCCCTTTGAAGCCCTTTCAGTGGCTCTGCTCCTTTTTAGACTTGGTAGTACTCTGCCCCCGCAGTTCCTGCACCTCCCCTACTCCCCACCCTGCTTGTCTTATTGCAGGTTTATGTCCCAGCCTCTCTCACTACTCCGCTTGCTGGGACCTCTCTGGGGTGGGGTCCAGGTCTGGCTCCCCATGAGTTGGTTCCCAGTTGCAGGCCTGGATGCAGCTGGCTTGAGAAAGTGGTGAATGGCTGAATGGAAGGGTAAGGAGTGGGATGAGGCAAGGGAGGGGCTTTGGACACATACTATAAGGAGGTATTTCCAAATCTGACCTAGTCCTTCCTAGTGTTGAAGGGTGCCTGGATGATCATGGAAGCCTACTACATAGTAGCAGATTTTTTGTCATTGTTTTGTCTTTTGTTTTTTAGACAGGGTCTTGCTGTGTACTTCAGAGTTCAGGCTGGCTTTGAACTCACTGTGTAGCCCAGGCTGGCCTTGAACTCAGTGCCATCCTCCTGCCTCAGGCTCTGGAGTGCTGGGATCACAGATGTGCATCATCATACCTGGCTTGAAGCAGCTATGTTTTGAGCATGCATTTTGTGACACGCATATTCCATACATCATCTCATTCAATCACAGCATCCTCGGGTGGTAGGCATTACTGTTGTGCCCATTTTTCATACTAAGAAAGTAAGACTAGAAAGACTTAAATACTGTGCCCTAGGGCGAGAGCTGTGATTGGACCATAGCATTGCCAGCCTCAAAAACTGGGCGAGTCTCCTCCATGGTCTTCAGTGCTTGTCCAGTCCCTTCTGCATGTGGCTTTGTGGGTGGCGGGTGCCCAGGGGCGCTGGGCAACCCCACAAACTCCCTGGGATTTCTACACATCGTGTCATGGTGACTTGAGAGAGTGGAATAGTGAAGACACAGCCTATAGTTGCTGTGGTGATACTTGTTCCCCTAAGGACTCTGTTTGCTCAGCCGTGAAATGGCTGTCTCAGGTCCTGTAGCAACCAGGCTTAAAAGGCTTTGCAGCTCAGGCTGGCTGCTGGGCGGAGCAACCTCCCTTCAGTTCCGGGTTCCAGGGGAGCTCCTGGGGTCCCCGCCAGTGAACTGACTTGTCCAGGGCCCTATGGCTGTGGGTTCCGCCACTGGCCCGCCCCCAGTCTGCTGTGACTCAGCCCTACTCTGCCACCTGTCCCTCCCACAGCCTCTTAGAATTACACCGTGTGGGATGTGGCCACCCCTGTGAGCGCAGAACAAAGCCGGATGTAATTTCTTCCCCTTGGCACAGTGGTGGCGCTGCCTCCTGGGGGTTGTGGAAAGGCCCTGGGCCGTGGCCAGGCTCACTACCACGGGGCAGGGATTCCTGTCAGCAGTCACCTGACCACACGACCCGGGCTGCCTCAGTTTCTTTATGCCAGCTCAGCCAGGGTTCTCATCTTCCCGGCAGGGCCCTGGGACTGGCCTTCCTCCACAAGTCCACCACCAGCCCAGAAAACCTTTGGAGTTGCCCTCTTTATCTTCCAGATAAAGTGTTAGGCAGTGTTTATACCCAGTGGGGCCCTCTGTCTTGCTGCCCTGCATGCTCCACCCACTACCTGCTGACCCTGAGGAGGGACTTTGGGCTCACTGTCCAGGATAACATGTTTGAAGACTTGCAAAGCCAGTACAGCTTCCAAGCTTGGATTTAGAGAAATTCTGTTTTCCTCAGAAGCTGTACTTTGAGGGCTGCTCTTTGATGGTTAGCAGTACAGGAAGACCTGATTTTGAATCCTTGAACTGCTGCTTTCTTGCTGTATGATCTGGGCAAGTTTCTCAGTCTCCTGAGCATCAGTGTTCTGTTTTGTAGGGTAAGAATAATAAGCAAGTTTGGGCAAAGGGTGAGCAGGTGCTGAATGTTGGTGCCGGGGCCTTCAGGTGGCTGCTCAAGAGATGGATATTTGGATGCTAATGGGTGATGGCTATCTGGCCTCTGCTGTCTTCAACCCTCTTTCTTACCATTGTATCCATTCTATCACTTTGTTCATTCTTCTGTCCATTCTCTCATTCGTAGCTCAGGGATCTCTTTCAGCCTGGTGTACGCCTCATCTTTGACTTTCACAATCATGACACTTATAGGCCAGTTCTTCTGCAAAATGTCTGATTTTGGTTTTGTCTGATATTTCTTTGTCATTAATGCTATGCAGTCTGGGTGGAGATATCACATAAAAGATGCCTGTATTCTTTTCATTTCAGCCTGCCTGGCAACACCTGGCTGTAACTTGTCCTGATACTAGTGATGTTCACTTTGATCAGTTGATTGATGTGGTATCTGCCAGCATTTTTTACTAGGAAGTTACCCATTTTCCTTGTTTAATTAATCATTTGATAGGAAGATACTTTGAAGCTATGTAAATACACTCTGTTCCTCATCAAATATTTATTTATTCATACTTTTATATATATATATATATATATATATATATATATATATATATACAGATATATATTGTAGTTTCATATTTGGTGGATCATAATGGTTGCTATTCTTGTTTTAATATGGTGTGTCACAGTTTTAGCCCAGCTTAGAGTGACCAATTGTCCTCGTTTGCCTGGGACTGAGGAATTTGCTATGATTTGGGACTTTCAGTGATAAAACTGGGAGAGTTCTGAGAAAACCCTGATGAGCTGGTCATTGTTCCAGTTAGAACCTTTCAGGCTAGCTCTTATGTCTGTTGGACAAGGTGTCTGTCATTCTTCCTTACTTTTTGGCACAATAACGTGTTCTAGGGTCATCTTATACTTCCTCTGATCCAGCCATGGAATTATCCACTTTTTTCCAAGAAGACTTGGAACCAGGGACCTTTGAGTGTTAAGCTATACCAAACCATGGAAATACAAGCCATGCGCAATTCTTCACTGCCACACATGCTCTCTGTACTTGCACCTGCCTCTGGGCCTTAGCCCTGCCTGTTCTCTCTGCCAAAACTGCTTGGCAAACACTTCCCTCCTGACTGCGCTTCCCCATGAATTCTGATCCTCCCACCTTCCCCAAGGAGTTGATCTCTGAGCCCCACTGGGCGTTTTAGGGTACCTCTGCATTTCCAAATGGGGCTCCTTCCTCAACCCAAAGCCTTTCAAGGACAGGTCTCAGACTCATCTCCTACTTACCTTGGATCAGGACAGGGCTGGACCTGGGGCTCCTAGTTAAATGATTGAGTCCAGTTGTGTGTGCATGCATGCGTGCATGTGTGTGGATGTGTGGTACTGGAGACTGAACCCAGGGAATATTGAACTATATCCTCAGCCCTTTTTCATTTTATTTTGAGACAGATTCTTGCTAAGTTTCCCAGGCTGTCCTTGAATTCATAATCCTGCTGCCTCATCCTCCTGAGTAGCTGGGATTACGAGTATGCATTATCATGCCCAAAATGTTTGTGTAAATTTTTAATGCACTTTGTACTGAAACCACCTTCACATTTCTCCAGTTTGTCTCCAAAATGTCTGTTATAGCCGGTGTGCTCAAACCAGTATGCAATCCAGGGTCATACTTTACATGTAGTTGTGTCCTGTGTCTCTCCATCTAGCCAAATTCCTTTATATTTGTCCATATGGAATTGACCTGTAGAAGAGACTAAGCCTGTAGCCCTCCAGAATGTCTCACTATGTGACTTTGTCTGGCTGTATTCTCCTGGTGTCACTTAGCTTGTTCTTCTATTCTGTTTTCTGTAATATAAAGTCATGTTCAATGCTTGATGAGTTTCTTGATGCCTAGAATACCCAGCAGGTATGGTGTGGCCATCCTGTGGCAGTCTGACACTAACAGTGTTACCATGACCTAGCCCAGGATGAGGGGGAAGGAGTGTAGTCCCTCCCTTGTATGGTTGCATGTATCCCCTTGTGAGTAGAAAGTAATATGTGTAGGTTCCCCACACTGTCTAAGCGCCAGTTTTAGGAGACCTTTTTAGACTACTCAAGAAAACTCATCTGTCTGCTGAGAGAACTTGATCCTGGGGGTTGGGCTCTTGGGTGAAAAAAAAAATCACAGAACAAAAATCACAGCATTTCATCTTCCTGACTAACAATCTGGGGAAATCTGGTTCTGTTCTAACTTGTTTTCCAGACATGTGAGCTGCGTTAAATCCCAGCCCTGCTACTTACCAATTTGACCCTGGGCAAGTTACTTAACCTCCTCGAGCCTCAAGTTCCTCCTTGGATTTCTTGCCTGGCAGAGTTGTTAGGAGGGTTAAATAAGACGAGTTATGCTTATCTGCTTTTCTCCCAGATCGAAAGCTCTTTGAGGGCAAGGCTAATAAATTGTAAACTATTTCTTGAATGAAAAGCTGGGTGTGGTGGCACACACCTGTAATCCTAGCACTCAGGAGGCTGAGGCAAGAGGATCACTGTGATTTTAAAGACAGCCTAGGCTAATAGTGAGTTCAATCCTGAACTGCAGAGCAAGACCCTGTCTCAAATAAATAAATAAGTAAATAAATGGATGCATGGATGGATGGATGGATAGATGGATGAATGGATGAAAAAAGCACAAAAAGAAGTAGTATGGCCAGATGATAAGTACCATGACAGGAAAGAAGTCATCCAAGTAGACATTTATTTTTTCATTTCATTTAACATGTCCCTTCACCCCAGGCTCCATGTTGAAACAACCATGAGCCTCTGCGAGTTTCTCGTGTGTCGGGAGGGCCCAGACACAGAGATTCAGTGTATGGGGGCCTGGAGGGCCTGGCTGGGAAGGCTTCCTGGAGGAGGAGACTGGGCTGACACAGGGTCGTGGTGTCTGAGGACAGGAGCTGTCTGAGTCCTGGCACCCCTTCTGGTGCTGCTGAACCAGGCTTATGGTGAGAAGTGAGTCCATGCTGGCTTCAGAGGCTCCTGCGCCTCCTGTTCTCCTCCCTCCTCCTTGGCCTTTCTGCACTGTGGTCCCCTGGCCAGCGCTCTGAACGCTGTGTGACCCAGATGACCCTTGTGTCTATCTGCAGTGCCGGATGGAATGCCGTGATGTGCCAGCTGAGACGCTCTACGACGTCCTACACGACATTGAGTACCGAAAGAAGTGGGACAGCAACGTCATTGAGACATTCGACATCGCCCGTTTGACAGTCAACGCTGACGTGGGCTATTACTCTTGTGAGCAGGCGCAGCACACTGACCTTGCCCCTTGTCCCCTCCCCCCATGGTCGTTCCCACAGCCGGGCTCTGAGGGGCCTGGATATTGAGACTGAGGGCTGTCATCTTGTACTCCCTTTTCCCCCCAACACAGATGCACTCATGTGTTCACAAAGATGCTCCACACACAGACACATGCACACACAGACATGTACACATCCTACAGCCATGCGCCACCTATTCACAGATACACTTTCTTGCACACGTACTCACAGTAGTACTGTTTTTCTCATATACACTCAGAATTACATATAGAAACTGGCCAGACCAGCAAGCTAAGGGTCTTGTGAGGGTCTGAAGGAAAGGGATAGCCAGAGAACGGTAGAGACAAGAGATCTGTACTTTCTCTTCCCTGCTGTGGGATGGCTGTGGGGGCTGTGGGCCGGGGAAGGGTGTACATGGTTGGTTCAGGCAGAGCTGGCAGCTGCCTAGGCACCCCTAGGTCTCTGGCCTCTGCCACCCCCTCCCTCACAGGCAGGCGGACCAGTGATCTGGCTGAACTGTCCCTTGCCCTGCACAGGGAGGTGTCCCAAGCCCCTGAAGAACCGTGATGTCATCACCCTCCGCTCCTGGCTCCCTATGGGCACTGATTACATCATTATGAACTACTCAGTCAAACACCCTGTGAGTTGACCTGCCTTCCCTGTTCGGTGGGCAGGGGAAGATGCCAGGCAGGGCTGGGTCCTGACTGCCACTGTGACTTGTCCTGTGACCCTTTGGCAAGTGCATGGCCCTCTGACCCATAGTGTTCATGTACAGCAAGGATCATGGCTTCTGTCTCCCTGCTGAGGCCCTTAAGCACATCAAGGGAGGGCAGTGTGGGCCATCTTTGTGGTGACGGGGTGGGATGGGCTGGCTTCAGTTGACTGGGCTCAGGGATGAGGCTGGCCAGTAAATGGGGAAGCAGGGCGTCAGTGGCAGGGTCCTGTGGCCCTCCCTGAGGCAGGGCTGCCTTGATCTCCCTGGGTAGGGAGGACAGGGAGGTGTGGCTGGTCTGGACAAGGATTGAGTGCCCATGTGAGCCCATGAGTTCTGGCCCAGGCTGGGGTTTTTCCTGAGGAAACAGGGAAAACCTTTAGAGGGACAAGGATGTCTCTGTCTGATTCTTGCCTTTTTTTTTTTTTTTGTCCTAGCATCAGGCCTGGCCTGATACAGATGCCAGGGGATGTGAACTGTGTATGTGTGTGTGTGCGTGTGTGCGCCACAGTGTCATCTCCTCTGCCCCCACCCCGAGTCTCACCTCCCTGTGCCTTCCATCCCCAGAAATACCCACCTCGGAAAGACTTGGTCCGAGCTGTGTCCATCCAGACGGGCTACCTCATCCAGAGCACGGGGCCCAAGAGCTGCGTCATCACCTACCTGGCCCAGGTGGACCCCAAAGGTGAGGGCTTGGCCCTGGTAGCCTGTCATGGGATCCTTCCCTACACCACAGGGGCCGTTCTGTCTTTTGGGCATTGCCATCCAAAGCAGTGGTTTGAAAGGAATGGGCCAAGGTAGGAGCCACTGCTTCTCTGCAGCAGCTCAGGGCTCTCTTCGTGGGCTGTGACAGCCCCAGCTCCAACCTGCCCCTGCTTGCTGGCTGTTCCTGCTCTGTCTGCCTTTCGGACACCCATCCTAGAGGCCTGCATTGTCCAGACCTGTCCTCTCTCCTTTCGGTGGGCTCAGCCCCTCCTGTGGCTGCTGGCCATATGTCTCTGTCTGCTGAGATACAGATCCCTGTGGCCATCAGCCTCCTGGACAGGGTGTCTTCTAGGCCCTCGCAACTCCTGAGTCTGAGGCTGAGCCCACCATTGCCCCTGCTGGCCTCCCCGCCCCTTCTGTGTGTCCACCTTCCAGTCACCCTGCAGGTCAGCCGGGGCCACTCCCTCTCCCTCTGCTCTCAGATTCAGTCCCTGATTCTGATGGATTCTACCTCTCACGGAACTGACTGGGTTGTCTCTCTGTACTCAGCTGCCTTGTCTGTCTGTACCAGCTGCTGGAGGCCTTCTTCTCAAATGCTTATTTCTTCGTGACTCTCACTTTTTAAAAATGCTTCTGCACCCCTCTGTTGCCCTCAGAGTACAGTCTGAGCCCCTCCCCAGATTTCCCACCCCCTGCGCAGTAGGCCCTTTCCCTCAGCTCCACACAGCTGTCCTCTTTACGGAGCCCTCCAGGGCTGCTTCAGGTGTCACCTTTTCTGTCCCTGATGCCCAGGTGCCCATTCCCCTCTAGTACTGCACCTGGCAAACAGTTAGGACCCCAGACAGTGAGTCCCCAAATGGGTCCCCAAGGGTGGTGTCATAGTGAATGTGGAGTGAGTGGGTGACTGAGTGACTAGAGGACGGTTAAGCCTTGAGCCTCTTTGCCTGTTATGCCCCAAATCCCCACTGGCACAGGCGCGGGTGTCGGAGGCAGAGCAGACACTTCAAAAGAGACAGGTGGAGAGGGGGCTGTGGATTTGGACTCAGGCCAGGCTAGGGTATTCTGGTGGAGCTGCGGAGGGGGCCTGAAAGGACAGGTGGAGGAAGGGCTGAACATCAGGGTGGGTCCCAGGTGGCCCCTGGGGTTAGGGATGAGACGGCATAGCAGTGTAGCAGGAGGCAGATAGAGCTTGGTGGGTCAGAACTCCAACCTGCAGGTAGCCTATGGTCAATTAGGACCCCGAGGTTTTCTTCCATGCAGCCCTGGAGCTCAGCAGAGGGACAGTTACACCCCAACTGTAGGACTGCCACACTAACTCCTTCCCATGGAGGAAGAGGGTGGCCTCCCTGGAAGCCCAGGCAGAGAGAGGGGCTAGTGACTGGTGGGGTGGGGACCTGGGCTGCCTTGTCCCTTGTCACCTGACCACCCTTCCCTGTCCTCACAGGTTCCTTACCCAAGTGGGTGGTGAATAAATCATCTCAGTTCCTGGCTCCCAAGGTGAGTGGCCTTGGGACTTTTAGGGGTCTGGAGGCTGTGGAGAGAACTCTGGAATGGAGTTGGGGGGAGTCAAGGATGGAGGCCGGGGCAGAGCTAGGGCTGTAAAACAAAGTTGTAAGCTTCCGGGTGGCGGTGGCGGGGTTGTGTGCAAACCACTGGAGGGCGCTGGAGGGCGTGGAGAATCCCGCGCCTCCCCAGCCACCCCTGACGCTGCCGCGGCTGGTCTGCAGGCCATGAAGAAGATGTACAAGGCATGCGTCAAGTACCCCGAGTGGAAGCAGAAGCATCAGCCACATTTCAAGCCGTGGCTGCACCCGGAGCAGAGCCCGTTGCCCAGCCTGGCACTGTCGGAGCTGTCGGTGCAGCACGCGGACTCGCTGGAAAACATCGACGAAAGTGCGGTGGCAGAGAGCCGGGAGGAACGAGTGGGTGGCGCAGGCGAGGGCAGTGACGATGACACCTCGCTCACCTGAGCACAGCACTGCTGCATGGATGGAGACAGGACTGGAGCGGAGCCCTGGGGTGTGGACCATCCTGCACCCTCTCCCCTCCCCCCACCCGACTTCCTGGGGACCCCAGGCCTGGCTCCCTGCACTTTGGCCTGGCCGGACACAGCCCCAATAAAAGATCCCACAGCCTCAGCCAGTTCATCCTGTGCCTGCTCTCCCTCTGCCCCCAAGCCACCCGTGCCCTGGAATGCTATCATTGCTTAAATGGCCTTTGATACTTTAGATAGCTCCTAATTTTCTCATGTATGGCTGGAGGGAGGGGTAGCACACTTCTTCGGTCCTGTTTCCTTCTCCCTGACCATTAGCTCACTTCTCTGTCCTTGTTGCCTGATCCCTTTGCCTTTCACTGCTCTAAGAGAAGGAGTTGCAGAGGTCTCCTGTAGGGGTCAGAGGGCAAGGTTCAGTGTGACCTCAGGTCCCTGGTCCCTTGGGTCCAACCTATGGACTGGGCACCTTGAGCTCTGCTGTCATCACAAGGGGAAGGGAGGGAGTGATAGGTCTCAGAGCACAGGGCTGTGCACCCCAGAGCTTAAGTTGGGGGATTGTGCCCAGGAGGAGGAGGTCAGAGGGCGCAGGTAAGGGTCAGCAGATTCCAGTGCAGTGGAGGATCTAGGCTTTGTGATTTTGGCCTTTCTAAGTCATTTTCAAGAGCTCAGGACAGTGTGAATTGAAATAGTAGGATCCCTAGGAACCCATCCTCTCAGCCTTGTCCAGATGCCAACCACCTCATCCCATGTTCCACCTGGTGGCCTGAGAGCAAGAGAGAGGCCTGGCACTCCTCTGTTCTCCATAGCTGTTCTGCTGCCCAAGGGACACCCCTTCTGCTAGGCCCAGATGACCCTGTGCTCTGCTTCTGTCCAGTGCTCTTGGCCTCATGCTAATGTGGGGCCCAGAAGTCTCCCCCAAGGTCTGATCTGTCCTCCCTTTCTGGAAGGCTACTGGCCTTAGCTTGGCCAGTGGAAGATACCTGGCCCAATGGCTGGGAAAAGGAGGGGTGTGTTCATTGAACAGGATCGAGCTAGGAATGTCTGGTTGAGCACATAGCCAGCAGGCTTGGAGTGTAGCCTGGAGACCACGGAGTGGATGTTTTCTCTCAGGGTGGTTTTTGGTGCTGGGGAAGTGATTAGGAGCCATCACAGTAGATTTCTGCCATTTGCACTCCCCCATCCCCAGATGGAGGTGGTGTGGGGTGGGAGAGGGGCTTCAGGGAAAAGCATGGGGAGTAGAGTTCTCTTTCCCAGAGGAACCAGTGATGGTCAAGTGGAGGTGGATAGGCTCACCCAGAAAGGTTCCAGGCCCAGCTTTGCCCAAATATGGTTCCAGCTCTATGACATCAGGCAAGCCCTAAAACTTCTTGGAGCCCTATTTCCAGAGCCATAACCTGGGGTGATAATTTTGCCTTCAAGCAAATGTGGACATTGAGATAAATAAATTGTTCTCCATTGGGCGTAGGATGTAGTAGGTGCTCAGTGACACTTTCCTCTTTCCATGCCCTCCCTGTTCTACCAAATATACTATTGTGATAAGGAAAAACAGAAGCCCACAGCAGTTAAGATCTTGGCCTTAGCTGATCCTGGAGGTGCGCAGGTCCCAGGACCCAGAAATGCCTGCCAAGCATGGGTGTTCTCTGTGTTGTGCTGGGAGGAGAGGTGAGACTCTCCCGTTCTTAAGACCAGTGAAGGTGCCTGGGGCTGGGATCTCAGGCTGTTGGCTGCAGGGAAAGGAATCTTGGGACTCTTCTTTACCACCCCGCGCAGGGGTATGTGGGTGCCAGGAGAGAAATGGAAAGTGAGGTAGGGGAGGACTCCTGGAGGTGGTGATCAAGGACCACGGTCGACCGGCCTCAAGCGCCCCCTATCGCCCTCGCAGATGAAGTGGGGCGAGTGTGTGGCTCACCCTTTCCAGGGGCACAAACTAACCAGAACAGGGCTGGGAGCCGGGGCGACTCCGGCGGCAGCGAGACTCAGCGGGTGGGATGTTGTGTGTGTGTCGACTCCGGGAGAGATGGAGACTCAGCAGGGTGTGTGTGTGTGTGTGTCTGTGTACTGGCCCCAGGAGACCGAGGAGGACTGTGTGTGTGTGTGTGTGTGTGTGTGTGTGTGTGTGTGTGTGTCTGTGTACTGGCCCCAGGAGACCGAGGAGGACTGTGTGTGTGTGTGTGTGTGTGTGTGTGTGTGTCTACTGGCCCCAGGAGACCGAGGAGAACCTGCAGCGACAGGGCCTAGAGAGTCTTCCAGACCGACCGGTCCGGCAGGGAGGCCGGGCCAGCGAACTTCGGGACCGAGACTGGGCGAGGGGCGGGGCCCAGGCTGGGTCCCTGCCCCTTCCCCCCCTCCCGGGGCGTCACGTGGGGCAGGCGGAAGCACCCCGCGGGGTGGGCGCGCCGGGCCCGCGGCCGCGAGTTGGCGGTGGCGGGGTGAGTTAGTGGCCGCTCCGGGATCCAGGGTCCCCGCGTGGTGTCTTCGATCAAGCAGGTCAGTGCGGCTGCCGGGGTTTGCTGGTCCCCAGCCTTCTCCTCAGGTGTGGCCTACAGTGTCCCCATGCCGCAGAAGGGAACGCTGAGGCCGCGCGGCGACTCTGCACCCCTCGCCCATTTCCCCAGGTCATCAGGTTTGTTCTCCGGGCTAGGGGTGGGGATGGGGTCGCCTCCTGAGGATGAACTGTCGGGTCAGAGACGGTGGCAAGGAGGGTGAGCCGGCGGACACCCGGCTTCCAGCCCTCGTTTCTCGGGCAGGAAGGCTCCCAGGCTCCGGAGATTGCCCGCCTTCCGACGCCTTGGTTTTCCGAACTGTGAGATGAAAACTCCCAGCCCATTGACCGCGGAGACCCTTATATTTCTGCAGATCGAATGACCCTGTGCCCTGGAACTTTTGGGGCTCCAGCGACCTTGGGCAGGGTATTTCCGGCCTCTGCACCTGACTTTCCCACCAGTAAATGGGGGCATTGCTTCCCAAGAGCCTACCTGGCCCAATTGCTAGGAAAAGGAGGGGTATGTTCATTGAATAGGGTCGAGCTAGGAATGTCGGGTTGAGCCCAAAGCCAGCGGGCTTGGACTGTAGCCTGGAGGCCACAGGGTGGATGTTTTTTCCTAGATCCCTAGGGGTGTTTTTTGATGATGGGGAGGTGATCAGGAGCCATCACAGTAGATTTCTGCCTTATGAACTCCCCTAGATCCCGTGTCTGGGGAGCCTTCCCAGATCCCCAGGTGGAGGTGGTGTGAGGTTGGAGGAGGGCTTCAGGGACAAACTTGGGGTTGCCCAGGGTCCCAGACTGAGGCTCGCCTGATGTCTGTTCCTCCAGGTGGGAGGTTTGAGGGAGACGAGGGGGGAGACCTCCTAGCAAGATCATTACAGGGTAGGAGGAGCCCAGCAGATCCATGAAGACGGGTGTGGACAGGTGCGGGCCCAGGGGGATGACTGGAATGGGCCTTGGCAGTTAAGTGGCACCTTTTAAGCACAGGAGCCTCTAGGTGAGGGCATAGCTGTGCTGAGGCAAGAACTTGGATGGTGTGTTTGAGGACTGGCGAGGAGATGGGTGTGTTTGCCCAGGGTGGGAGAGGACAGGAGTAGAAAGAACTCAGGTTTGTGTCGCTGTCCGGGGACTCTGCCTCCTTACTGGCCGTTTGTTCATGGAATAGGTCATGGGGAAGGTGTCTTAGAAACACTGCCGGTGACTGGTGTGGTGGAGGCGGCTACAGCCCCATGGGCCGCTGTTGCCTCAGTCAGTCTTCACTTGGGCAGGTAGCCCCCTCCCCAGGCTCTGCTTCCCCATTCTTCCACAATCATCCTTTTGTGGAGGTTGCCCTTCCTCCCTCCATAAGTTTTCTCCCCATCCAAATCTTCAGCACCCTTGGAACTTCAGGTTTCAAAAATGGGCTGTTTATCGTCCCCACCTTCCAGCCTGACCTTTCAGTCCTGTGTAATGACACAGCTTAGGAAGGGTGCTTAGGAACTCTGCAGGGAGGGGTCTGCACAGCTGAGGGACCTGGAGTCCCTGCAGCCACCAAGCAGTCTGTGACTGCAAGACCCAATACTTTTCAGAGCCTTCCTCTTCCCATCTGTAGGATGGGGTGATAAGCCCTGGCTTTATGCCCAAAAGAGACTATCTGGGGTAAGACTCAGGCCTGTCGGGGTCTAAATCCTGCCCCCAGCAGTGAGTGTTAGAGTGAAGGCAGAACTCAGGGAAGGGTCAGTTCAGAAGGGGGTGATCTCAGAGCATTGAGGATAGTGGTGGATCAGGCCTGTGGTATCAGCTGGAGGGAGGGAGGTCCCCATCCTCTCCGAAGCCTCTCCTCTTCCCACCCCTCTCTCCTTGGCTGAGCTCAAAGCCAACCGCCAATGCCCAAACAAGTGGCCTCTGTTCCCAGGGGAGGGGGAGGGGAGGCAGTCCCTGGGCTCCAGGCCCGTCTGTCCAGCGCTGACCCTGGCCCCCCGCCCCTCACTCTGGGTCTTAACCCTTAGGATCCTGAGCTGCGCCCTGGGGTGCTTGACAGCTGGTGCCCCTCGCCCACCAGCTATTCCCTCCACCCTGTTACAGGCTTCTAAGGGTTCTGGCACTTCTGGAGGGGATGCAGGAGAGTATCAGTGGGAAATGGGGAAGGAACGAGGAAACGGGTTGGGGAGAGGCTGGGCAGGTATGGCCACTGAGACACCACTTGCCCAGAAGTTTCTTCCATAGATGGGGGGACTGAGCCTAAGGGCCAGCAGTCAGGCCAGAGCAACACAGGGAGCCTGGGTGGTGGGGTGCCAGGGGCAGGGGCAGGACTTGTGGAAATGTAGGGGTGTTGGGGAGGAAGCTTTCTAGGGCCCTGTGCTGGGCCCTGCACATTTGTTGCATTACTGTATTTAACTTTACCTCATTGGATAAGATGAGGACTACAGGGCCATGGCGGCAAACATGCCTGGAGCGTTGTTGTGGGCGTTTTCATGTATATGAACCAACTTAATCCTGTCAGTGGCCCTCAAGGTTAGGTACCATTCTACAGAAAAGGAAACTGAGGCCCAGTAAGGTTAAGTAGCTTATCCAAGATGACTGTGGATCGGGGTAGAGTCAAGAAAGGACCCAGATATGTGTTTGCCTCCTGTGGCCTGATTTCTCCACCCGGAGGGTGCTGTCATCCAACTCTGCTCGCT